ATTTAAAAAATTTTTTAAACCCCAAAGAAAAAATATTTGTGCCTCTAGACACAATGACAGCGTCTGTCCCGGCCTTGTTCACAAAGTAACCTGGTGGGCTCTTTTTGGGTGCTGGGGTGGAACAGGGCTTTGCCTGTGCCCCACTGCTGAGCTACACCCTGGCTCCCCTCTGGGTGGGTTGGCAGGTGGGTGGTCCATTATTAGAAAGGGGTGGCAAATGCCTTTCAGAAGACAATTTGACAGTCACTTGTGACGCTCCGCACAGGAAGACCCTGTGGTCGTCCAGGGCTAAGTGGCAGTAGGGAGTCTTGGGCAGAGAGTGGCATCCAAGGCTTTGACGAGTGTCAGTTCCACTCACAGGTATGTTTAGAAAGAAAGGAAAGGAACAAGCCAAGCTTTCTGTTGGCCACAGAAGGAGGATGCTCTGTGTCCACCCACCGTCTCCCTGCACAGGAGGGGAGCTTCAGGAGGCAGGTAGTGGCTTTGGCTGGACACGTTCAAATACCAGCGATGGAGTGGCCAGCGCTGTCGCCTCCCACCCACTTCCCACCTGAAAGCCGAGGTGGGAGCTGCGCAGGGCGGGCACTGCCATCGGACAGGATGGGGCATGGGGCAGGCGTGATGGGACGGCAGGCGCTGGTTCCTTCCCGCCCTCCGCTCCTGGAGGGCCTTCACCCGCTGGCAGGACAGCAGGGGACACCGCGTGTAATCCCTCCTGTCGTCCTGCATCCTGGCTTTCTTGGTGCGGGGTCAGTCAGGGTGGTGCTGGGCATTGAACCCAGGGGTGGCGCATGCCAGGCAAATCCTCTGCCACCAAACTCCGCATCCCCAGGCCCTGCTAAGACATTTTCAAAGATTAAAAGTGCGTCCTTCCTTCTCTTCCCCTCCCTTCCCTGTTACCTTCCATCCATCCAACTTTTCCCGCTCTTCAAAAGTTACGTGCATTCAATTCCATGTCGGTGCAGTAAGACACACATGTTTATTGTCAACGAGACAGGTATGCAGAGAGGAGAGCAAGAACTTCCATAGCACAGTAGGTCTGCTCCACGTTTCACCTGTGAGCACCTAAACCTGTGGTTCCCGGCCTTGGCTGTGCAGAGAGGCAGCTGGGCAGGGCCGGGAGCAGGCGCCTGGGATCCCACCCAGAGAGGCCAACTTCACTGGACTGAAGGGGTGTGGCCGTGGGACTTCTAGAAGCTACCCCGGTGACCCTCCTGTGTAGCCCGTACATACCTTAGACTTCTATGTTTACATCACATACTTTACAAAAATAAGTTCACTGTCTGCCAGTTCCCTGTAACATGCTGTGAAGATCTTCCAATGAACACACTTCCGTAAACTAACTTTTTGAAAAGAAAAAGCCAGGCTGAGGGTAGAGGGCTTATCTAGCAGGAGTGAGGCCGCAGAGAGGATCCCCAGCACTGAGCATGGAGAAAAAAGATTAAAAACTGAAAACAAGGAACTTATTCAAATGAAAGAAACATAAGTGATAAAACTAGAAATATTAGAAATCTGCTTACAGAAAAAAGTGAATGTGAATTAGCAATTAAATAAGCATTTCAAGTTAATCATCTGCCAAAAATATACATGTCTTTCTTTCACACAGATAGGACATATTGATCCTGGCAAAATTCAGAGACACCAAAAGCAGTCTTGAATTTTATTAACTGTGTGTAGTTTCAATTCCAATGTCTATGTGAAAGTAAAACCCAATATTTCATAGATGTATTTTATAATGTCAGAAGCACAGTGGGTTTTATTTTTTTAAGTTATTGATATGATAACATACTAGCTTATTAATAATAATGATATTTTGCTTATATATTTTCTCAACATGATCAAATTATTAATATCAATTTTTCCTATTGCAACTTTTTAAAGTTTCAATGTAAGAAAATAGCTACACACTTAATTTTTTTAATCTTAAATATGATTAAAAGAAAAAAAGTTTGTTATTTTTATTTTGTTTTTTGGTACTGAGGCTTGAACCCAGGGGCATTTTGTCACTGAGCCACATCGCCAGCCCTTTTTCTTTTGATTTTTGAGATAGGACCTCTCAAAGTTGCTGAAGCTAGTCTTGAACTTTTGATTCTCCTGCTTCCCAAGTCGCTGGGATGGCAGGTGTGTGCCGCTGCACCCAGCTTGTCTTACACTTTGCTTCCTAAGGGCCTACACCGTAGTCTTGGGCAGTATGACGTACTGCCATAGGATAAAGTATCCGAGAACAGCATGAGGAATCTCAGCAGAGGAGTCTTGCTTAGGTACTTTCAACTTGTAGACTTTGAAATATTTCAGATGTTTTTTAAACTTTGGGGTGAAATAAATTGTTTCACACTGGTTGTTTTATTATGTGATTTAAAAAAAAACTCTTTGTAATTCATAGTTTTCTGACTGGACATCTTTTTGGAAACCATGGTGTTGGAATATTCTGAATAACCAAACATTGTTTAATAGACCAAGTCTCTCAATTAGACTGCAATAAATATGCATCTGTAGTCAGCCATAACTCCAGTGTGCTCTGGAGCCAGAGGAACACTGCTTCTCATTCCCATAGTCCATTTAGCGGTTCTAGAGTCTTAATGTTTTTATTGCACTTGGTTGAACCTTTTTAAAAATGACTTTTTAAAAGTCAGTTTAAAGCAATTGTAATGTCTTCTTCATTTACTTCTGAGTAATGACTTTATAAGAGGTAACAACTCAGCATAGCAGCAATGTAAGACTAATTTTTCTTTCTGCAAACTATCAGTGAACATCACAAAAAGCCTAACTCATCTCGACTCAGGCTACAAAGTTCAGGTATACTTCTCTTCTTTTAGAATTTGAAGCCACATTCAAGTTAAATGCCCATTGAACAGAACTTGTGTCATTGTTTTATGGTTATGCTAAGCCTCAGAAGAACACCCTCTGCTTTCCTGTTCTGGGCTGTCTGAGGTGAGCTGGGATCGCTGCCCTCGGGCAGGCGGAGATGCTCAGCTGTGGGGGCTGGTTTCCGGGTGGGGGCCTGCATGAGCCAGGTAACATTCTCCACTGGCAGCCACAGCCATGGCCTCTGCCTCTAGCAGATCTGGTGGCAGTCTTCCCGCTTGAGCTCTGAGGTTGCAATTCTGCTCCCAGGATCTGGGTCACAAAGGCAGTCACTCCAACACAAGTGCCAGTCAGCCAGGATTACTCTCCCTTCAGGAGGCTCCTTTTGGCCCTATGCCAAATCATCTTAAATGAGGGACTAAAATTCCTCCCCACCACTTTCTTTAACCCAACAACTTGTCATTGGGCATGTTAATTTTGATTTTTGACATATACATTATAAAATTCTAAATATATTTCTATATTCTAACAAATGACCCCTTAAAGGTGAATTGCTGAGTTATATCATACATACATATAATCATTTGAAAGGCAAAGCATCTTTTTCTTTTTGGTGGTGCCAGGAATCAAGCCCAGGACTTCTGCAGGCTAAATATACACTCTACCACTGAACTACACCCCAGCTTCATCTGATTATTTTTAAGTGTAGTTCTTTATTTCTAGTTAGTTTGACCACTTGTCTATGCTTCTTGGTCATCTATATTTTTCCTTATAAATTGCTTGTTCATGGCCTTTGCCCATTTTCCACTTGATTTGTTCAATTTTATCTTATTGTGTTTTAGAAGTATTTATGTAGCACAATTAGGCACAGCTAAAATGCTGCACCAAGAAGTTTCCAAAACAGAGTGGTTTAAAGAAAACAGAAGTAGCTGGGTATGGTGGTACATGCCTGTAATCCCAGCTATTCAGGAGGCTGAGGCAGGAGGCTGAGGCAGGAAGATCACAAGTTCAAGGCCAGCCTGGGCAACTTAGTGAGACCCTGTTTCAAAATAAAACAAGAAGGGCCAGGGATGTAGCTCAGTTGCAGAGTGCTTGTCTAGCAAGGCCTTGGGTGCACACAGACTCCAGGATGAGTCTGTTTCATCTTGTTGATCAGCTGTCTCCTAGACAGCCACCTGTATCTGCACAGCTGAGTCACAGAAACACCCGCTCTCTCACTCTTGGAGGAAAGAAGCACGGGGAGATACACAGCTCTTACTGCCAAGGCTTACGAAGCACAGTCAACTCTTGTCATTTAAGTGACAACTTAGATCCAGCAGTGTCACACCTAGGTGCAAGGGCCAGTGAGACTGCATTCTCCAGGGACACAGCAATTTGTCCAACTATGATGCTCTTCTAGGGAACAAGTGGTGGATGGATTCCTGGCAGTCTCCACGGCTGTGAGTTAATTTTTCACTGGTAAGCCCCTCATATCCGGCTAGCCTTCGCTTGCTCTAGGAAACGTTCCATCATTTTTGCACCCCATGTGAGTGTAATAAATCACTTCTTTTTCTGTGCTACTAGTTTGCTTTATACCTACATTTACAGTTGAAGCACACAATACTTTTATTTAATTGGATATTCTTTTTCCCCACTAGAATGATGAAATATTGAAGACTACATCTTCTGGTTTTATTCCTTCATCTGTCCAACCCACTTCCTGCAAGGTTCAGCATTGATTAGCTATCGAATAAGGGACAACCTTTTATTTAAAGCACTTTGTAATTTAAAAAGACTTTCTATCCCAACCTGGACAACAAAGTGAGACCCCGTCTCAAAAAATGCTTTATGTGGGACTGGGTGGGGGTCAATGGTGAGAACTTGCTGAGCATGGACAAGGCCACCTGTTCAAGCCGTAGTGCATGCATGGGCGCACACACACACACACACACACACACTCACACTCGTAGTTCCTCTCTCCCCTGAAATCCACTCTTTTTTTTTTTTTGTTTTGTTTTTTTTTTTTGTTTTGTTTTGAGAGAGAGAGAGAGAGAGAGAGAGAGAGAGAGAGAGAGAGAGAGAGAATTTTTTTATATTTATTTTTTAGTTTTCGGCGGACACAACATCTTTGTTTGTATGTGGTGCTGAGGGTCGAACCCAGGCCGCACGCATGCCAGGCAAGCGCGCTACTGCTTGAGCCACATCCCCAGCCCTGAAATCCACTCTTGACGTAGACCCCACCCTCAGCCTCACACCCCCACTCCAGGCAGTGCAGTAGAATGCGTTCCTTGATCCGGGGCAGGTGGTCACTTCCGTCTCTGAAACAGGCTGGTTAGCGGAAGGGTAGCAAGCAATCTGCAGTCCAAGTGGGGATCTGGGCAGGGGTTGAGTGGGCGTGGATTCTGGGGAGCCAGCCGACGGGTGTCTTTGCGGTCCCCATCTTTCACACACACAACCCTGCAAAGTGATCAGATAATCATAGTTGTTTACACATTTACAGAGGGAGAGTTGGAGCAATAGACTCCTGTGGAAAACGAGGATTTTGTGAAGTTATAAAACCCCAGCTTGACAGACTGGAGAGGGTAAATAACACACTGCATTGTGATAGCTTTTCTTTCGTTTCTCCTGGAGAGGATTTCACACTGGCTTTCCTTGCATTTAAGGCATCTGAGAAATTTCCTTAGACTTTCAGGTGAAGTCAGTCAATCCTGGCTTTGGATTTTAAATCAAGACTTTCTTTTTCTTTTTTCCTTTCACCCTCTTCCTTCCTTCCTTCCTTCCTTCCTTCCTTCCTTCCTTCCTTCCTTCCTTCCTTCCTTCCTTCCTTCCTTCCTATTGGATACTCAGGGCTCTTTACCACTAAGCTATACCCACAGCCCTTTTTATTTCTATTTTGAGACAGGGTCTCACTAAGTTGCTGAAACTGGCCTTGACCTTGTGCTCCTCTTGCCTCGGCCTCCTTAGTTGCTGGGATTACTGTGTGTCCCAGAAGACTTACTTTTAAAAATGTTTAAGGATGTTGCATGCTTCTGGCGATGTTGATTATCATGAATGTGGCATTCTTCTCCTTTGTCTCCATTGTTGTTAGATCAAGGCTGGTTTAGAAGCACGCCATAACACCTCAGTGAAGTGTTGGTGGATATTCTGTCAACAACATGAAAACTAAGCCATGGAGAAAATGCATGGTAGGGTGGAGAGGGTTAGATTGAGCAATGGGTGACGAGTCCTCCAAGTTCAACTCACGGCATCTAAAAGCTGGATTTACTGGGCTTGCAAGGGTCACCAGAGGTCGTCTGGTATCCTTCCTAAGCAGCAGCACACAGGAGCATTATTCAAAACTAACAATTATATTCTTTGAATCACTTTCTCTTTTGCTCTTAAAAAACTGATCAGTACCAGGGATAAAGAAAATCCCAATTAATTCTCAATTCACAGCTTATTGTATTTTATGGTTCTGAAATATTTTGAAAATGTTTTAAAATTCCAAGTCCCTGCCAGATAGAGAGCAGATATTTCAGAATGCATATTTTACTGTTTGCTCTGCTAGTGGGATATGGCAATAATCTCTTTATCACCAGGAAAGCCAGGGAGGCCCTGGGGACCAGAACCAAAGTGCCAGTTCTGCTTTCTGAGACTTTTGGGGGACAGTTTGTTCTTCAGTTTTCCCAGACATTGATAAGCACACACGTCACTCAAAGTGCTCACAGAGCACATTATGAACAACTGTCACATACTTCTCGATATGTCCTATTGATTTATATTAATCACAATTATAATTCTAACATAATTTTTTATATTTGCTCCATTAACTAAGCTTTTACCTCTAAAAGTTTATTCCGAAGATATTATCAGATATGAGTAAAATTTATATATAGATGCTTATTGCATCATTTTAATATCAAAATTGGAAACTTCTTAAAATCCTACAATAGAAAAATCAATTTAAATAATTATGATGCATATATATGATGAAATACTATATTTTCATTAAAATTACAATGCCTTCAAATAGTCAACATTTGGTTATTATTTGTGACATGCCATTGTGAAAAAATTCAAGGTATAAACAGTATGTATAGTACGATTCCATTTTTAAAAACAAAAACACTCTGATCTAAAGGTATATTATAGATATAGATATGTATATGGGTATATCTATAATTATATGTGTGTATCATTTTTTGGTTGTTACTGGGGATTGAACCCAGGTGTGCTCTACCACTGAGTTAAACCCCAGGTCTTTTTATTTTGAGACAGGGCCTCACTAAGTTGCCCAGTCTTGCCTCAAACTTGTGATCCTTCTGCCTCAGCCTCCTGAACAGCTGAGATCACCACTGATCTCATGAGGCATGAGGTGTGCATCACCACACCCAGCTCCACAATATTACTGAGATAAATCTGAGATGTAGGGGTGTTAGTATGTGTGTATAGCATTGCTACTTTTTCTGCTTTATTGGACTTTCTAATGATTATGAGTCACTTTGACAGAAAAAAATAATAATTATTTGTAATGATATATGTTTTAGCTTTAGGAAGCCAATATCCAAAACATTCAGTTTCTGTGCATTTTGGAGAATGTACCTATATGTATACATTTCTTTTCTTTGTGAGTGTGTGTATATGCATGTGCATGCGCACACGCGTGCACAGACACACACACACACACACACACGGCTCTCATTGCCACAATTATTATGCATTACTATGCATGTGAAGTATGCAAACACATCAACATTTGTATTTTGCATTTTTTCCCAGTGTCTTTCTGCCATACTAATGTCTTTTCTTTTTATAAAGAACATTTTTTTTGTGGTGCTGGGGATGGAACCCAGGGTCTCATGCATGCTAGGCAAGTCCTCTACCACTGAGCTACAGCTCTGGCCCATGGTTTTCATTTTTTAATAGACTTTTGAGACTTTCTCTCTCTCTCTCTCTCTCTCTCTCTCTCTCTCTCTACTGAGAATTGAACCCAGGGGTACTTTACCACTGAATAACATCCCCAGCCTTTTTATTTTTGTTTTAGGACAGAGTCTCACTAAGTTGCTGAGGCTGGCCTTGGATTTGTGATCCTCCTGCCTCAGCCTCCCAAGCCACTGGGATTACAGGCATGCGCCATCCACTGAGCCTGGTGTGTGGAGACTGTGATTCAACAAGGCTCTCCTACTAGATGCGCTGTGTCTCACATTGCAGTTAACTCTGAAGGAGAGATGCTTTCTCCCTCAGCTCCTCCACCATATTACAGGCCTCATTGTCCAGACTCACCGATTCTTCCCTCTTGTAGGTCATTTTAGGAGATTTAATTAAAAAAATAAAACAACCCACAGAACTCTGTCTCGGATGCTAACTATCTGTTGGCTGCGATAAGCAGAGATTTCTTTTTAAAGTCGTGTGTGGGTGCAAATGAACGTTCCGATTCATGGTGGCATTTCCAAGGGCGTCTTCCTCCTGTGAACTTGGCGCTCACACTATGAGCCACCCCCACGGGCATTCTCTGGCCTCTGCTGGGCGTGGACGAGGTGGCCTGAGAAACTTTTAGCCCGTGCCCAAGAGCTTCGAACCTTTTTAACAAATGATTCTGGGAAAACTTGTTATTCATATGTGGAAGAATTTAACTAGACCCTTATCTCTCACCCTGCACAAAAATCAGCTGAAAATGGATTAAAGGCCCCAGATTTAGACCAGAAACTATGTACTCCTAGAAGAAAACCTAGAGAATGGAAGAAAAATCTTTGCTAGTTATTCTTCTGGCAGAGGATTACTATCTAGAATATATAAAGAACTCAAAAAACTTTACACCAAAAAAATTGAATAACCTAGTTAATAAGTGGGCAAATGAATTAAACAGACACTTCTTAAAAGAAGAGATACAAATGGCCAACAAATATATGAAAAAATGCTCAATATCATTAGTAATTAAGGAAATGCAAATCAAACTGCACTGAGATTTCATCTCACACCAGTCAGAACGGCAGTCATCAAGAATAAAACAACGGAAAATACTGGAGAGGATGTGGAGGAAAAGGACACTTGTCCACTGTTGGGATTATAAGTTAGTATGACCACTGTGGAGATCAGTGTAGAGGTTTCTCAAAAGACGAGGCATGAAACCAACACATGACCCAGCTCCACCACTTCTTTTTATTTATCCTGAAGAACTAAAGTCATCTTACTATAGTGATAAATGCACACCCATGTTTATAGCAGCACAGTTCACCATAGACAAATCATGGAACAAACATAGATGTCTATCAATGGATGAATGGGTAAGAAAATGTGGTATATATACACACAGTGGAGTTTTATTCAGCCACAAATAAAAATTAAATTATGTCATTTGCAGAAAACTGGATGGAATTGAGACTTTTATGTTAAGTGAAATAAGCCCATCTCAGGAGGCCAAGGGTTGTATGCTTTCTCTGATATAAAAGTTGGAGAAGAAAAAGGAAAAGAAAGGTGGGGTGGGTCTCATGAAAATCAAAGGTAGATCAGCAGAGGAGAGGGACCAAGGGGTGGAAGATGGGGAGGGGGTGCTAGGGAGGTGTACTGGCCAAATTGTACTGCTACATTGTGTGCATGTAACAGCAAATCCCATCATCATGTACAGCTATAACGCACCAATAAAAAAGTGAAATATAAAACCTAAAATAAAAGTGGAAAAATATTTTATTTAACCCAATTATATATAAAATAACTCTCATTTCAACATGTAATCAATATAAAAGTCATTATTATTGCTGCTGTTGTGGTTTGCAGTTTGAGTAGCTGGGATGACAGGTGTGCACCACAACACCTGGTAATATGATAATTACTAACGAGCTATTTGTGCTCCCTTCTAATACTATGAATTCTGAATGTGCTCTGAGCATACCTAGTTCCAAGGAGCAGCATCTAAGTGCTCCGTGGCTGTGCGTGGCAGGAAGCCACCTCATTGAGCTGCGCAGTTCTACATCTTCAGGCTCTGCTCACAGGTAGGGCCCTTCTGGGCAGTGATGGCCATTCTCCATGCATCCTGACGTAGCAGAGGTCTAACAGAAGACTCCTCAGTGGTCCTTCCTAAGATTGTGAGTGTGTGTGTGTGTGTGTGTGTGTGTGTGTGGTCCTGGGGACTGGGAGCTAAGCAAGCACTCCACTGAGCCCCTGAAGCTCCGTAAAGCAGGGGTTCTCTGTGTGCCAGAGGGCTCCAGGGACATATGGTTGGCAGCTCTCAAAGGCTGAGGGACCTGCCACAGCACTGCCAGGGAAGGAGGACAGCAGTTCTGGTCCACTCTAGTGGGCGAGAGCACCTGCAGGTGGATCAGCTTCTCCAAAGCCAGGAGAGTAGCCGAACGCTTTCAGTGAAAGGGCGGTAGCAGCATAGCCAAGCCAGCAGTCGAAAAAGGGACAGGTGAGCTGGCGTGGCCGCACCTAGGTGCTCGTAGTTGGGAGAACACAGCTGATTCTGATCGTGTCCACATAGACCCAGAGTGAGGCACTGTGGCTCAGGTACTTTATCTGGACCCTGGTGCTCTTAGAGGGTCCAGAGCGGGGCTTCAGGGCCTCCGGGACTCCTGGTGTTGTAAGTGAAACGTTGCTGGCTCATGTGCTTTGCCCACAGAAGACGGTGCCATATGGACTATGGGGTAAAAAGTTAAGCTGAGAACTGTCACTTGTGCAAAGAGGGAGGGACCTCGGTCCCTCTGAATCAAATCTGTCACTTTCCAGCCAGGAAGGAAGAAACAGAAATGTTAAGATATTTTGCCATGCAAAGGTTTTCTGACTAGCAATGACTGAAATGTAGAACCACGATATTTAGAGTCCTGGCCTCCAGGACTCAGGAGAAAAATGAGATGCCCTGGGCCAGGAAGACCCTCTGGAGGGGTTTTGAGACCACTCCTCACTGGGGACCAGTGGGGCAGTTCCTTGTTGCTCTGCTGGGGACACCTGATCTGCACCCACACAGGTACTGCTCTGACCGCATCACCCAGGTCTCTCGCCACGGCACTGTTGGCATTTAGGCCTGGACCTTTCCTTGCTGTGGGGGCGTCCGGGGCACTGCAGGACACCTGGCAGCATCTCCTACCAGATGTCAGTGGCTTCCTTTCTACCCTGTGCCCATAGTGGTGGTGCCATTCGTGGTGTCTTTATTGATATATTAAATATCTTTT